AGTGGGCCAAGGTTTCCTTGATCGGCGGAAACTTGATCTCGGGGCAGATGACGGACGAGTTCTGGTAGCAGGAAAGAGAAACTGGTTAGTGATCTTTGATATGACCCTCCACACGAGATAGTGGGAAGGCTATAGTCCGAGAGGACTGGGACTCATTGCATTTGATGCACTTGAACTTCTTCCCTTAGCTGGGGTTGGCTGCGATCGACTCGGGAAGCTTTCTGGAAACAAACGACTTCGTGGTCCTGGCTGGGATGTTCCTTGCGGCCTTGATGACCGCTCAGGTGGATCTTGGTCGCGTAAATATTGATTTCTTCTGCGTTGTGGGCATTTGGGATCATGCCCTCTCAGCCCGCAACTTGGGCAGACAGGGCACTGTGAACAGTTTCGAATGACATGTCCTTTGCTGTGGCAATATCGACAAGGAAGTTCTGGGCAAAGAAAGCTTGTATGGCCTTCCGTAGCGCAGTTACTGCAAAATGATCCCTACGGTCTATACATCTTCACTAATCTTGATGATACTTCTTGCAGCGAGAAACCTTCTGCATGCGGAAGAAGAAGTTTTTGAGAAGGAGATCGAGAAGAATAAATAGAAAAGAAGAAGAGATAAGAGGAGAAATGCAGATGGCAAGTTGATATGAGACTAATGAGAGTCTTTGTACAATTCCAAGGAATCATTGGAGAAGAAGATTTCTTCTTTAGAAGATACCATAGACTTGAGTAGCTACAGTATAGTCTACAGTATGTTATTACAAACAGTTGGGCTGATACTTCCTTGCTTTCAGTACAGGCCAGAAATAATTGATGATGATGGCCATGATGAGGATGTTAAACATAGATCGTCACTTCTGGCAGCTATATAGGCCTTTTGAATACTCATGACGCCCAGGGATGGGCATTGAAGAACCTCTGGTGCTTGAAACTGAGTGATCTGCGTGTGAACTCTGTTGGTGAATCGCTTCAAATGAAGTGGTCGGATCCCTCAGGCATCCATGATGCCGACAAGCCTTTCCTAATCCGTCACACGTGAAGCTTTCCCAAAGCGGAAATAAACAAGAAAACCGTGCATCTGATCGTGCATCTCTTGTCCATGGCAGAACAACTCTTGCTCGTGGTTTCTCACCTTCTTGGTGGCTTTTACCCATTTCTTTTCAATACGGCTGAATCTGATTAGAGCTACTACGTTTCTTCTCAAGAAAACTCCCTAGGCTTTTGATATCTTTGTGGTCAGGAAAGAGCCCGAGGATCAAAACAGATAAAGATGCTAATATCAAGCCACAGTGTCTTTATTATCCTTTCCCTGTCTTGTTCCCAACATCTTCATCGTCACTTCGATTGGCTGGAGCCGGTTTGATGGACTTATCCCAAGCGCAATAAAAACGGGGTTGCGCTTTAATACTAATACTCAAGGCGCCAGTTCTTGGAACAAGTAAGAATGCACTGGGGCTTCGCAATCTCCGGGATCTTAGTAGGTAATAAATATCTTATTTAACCGCTAAAAAGGGCCTATGTAAACTGTGGTCATCAACTTGACCCTATACAGTCTCTGTATCGCACATTTACAGGATTACTGGCATGCACATCAAAGGGCGGGAGATTATCGACCCAGCGAGGTGACAGATTCGTTCCATATAGACCGTGCAGCAGTCACCGCTTGGTTGAACACCAAGAACTCCAGTTCGTCCTACTCAAAAGGGATCAGGGTCCGAAGTGCCTCCACGGATATCGCCGAGAGACTTGCTTGGCTGTCACACTGTGCGTCGATCGCGAAGGTCCCTGCATCGAAACCGAATCACCGATAAACCACCACCCCCGTTCCTTTTCATCTTGGGAAGAATTTTGGGGATAAAATCACATCCCCAAACCAACTTTGCAATTTCCCCTTAATCAATCCACTTTATCGGCCGGATTGGGACTGATGCCATTGGCTCATCGGTGCTTACACCCCACTATGCCGTCAGAGTTTTCTACCCACTTGGGTATAGAGGCTCCGCGACATCAACGACTATCGATGTTAGCTTCCGGAACTCCGAGCAGGTGGCGACCAGGGAGAAGGAAAAAGCCACAGCCGTAATGTTTTTTTCTTGTTTCTCTCGATTCGATTCCCGACGTTGATCATATCGGCCTGGGGCCCTGGGCGGCGGGCGCAGGGAAAGGTTCTCCACATTGGCACATAGGAGAAGGCAGCAGCCGGCCCGGTCGACTTTTTAACCGTCAACTGTGAGTCGGTGACGTTCTCTCGCGTCACGGCTGTGTTGTCCAGCCTCGTTTAACACATCACTCTTGGAATTTCTGGGCACGGCACTGCATGAGAAAGGAAGAAGGAAAAAGGGGAAGAACATCCAGTGGATCCCCACTTGGCAGGCAGCAATGAGTCAAAGGGCGCTAAATGCTTGACCTCATCTCGCATAACAACTTACTAAGTAAACTACGATGAGTGACTAGGCTTCGCTAATGCTAGTCGCTGCTTGCGGCCTCCCTAAAGGGCTTAGAGTCTACAGTCAACTTTCTCAAGTGTAAACACCAACTTCACCCACCGAGTGACCGAGGATCTGGTGGGCTGCCAAGCGAGAGCCTCCGCCTTATCGTCCCACCTTGCAAAGTCAAATCGTCGAGAAAGGGTCGAAGGGTTCAAGTGCAAGGTTACATAGCCCCATAGCCAAGGCCTCTTATCACTGTTGTGGCTTAGTTTCGTGACTAGGCAGGCATACTTAGCGGGGCTCCAAGACTCAAGCGTGCCAGTTCAGGGACCGTTGGTGGAAGTCTAAGCGATAAACCAGGCGCAGGCGCACCCTTCAAAACCCCCTGCATCCTTTGCATCTCTGCAGTCTGCACCCTCCAGCTCGATCGACACCATCGCCTACCCTACCAGTCAACCCAGCAGTCGATCATGAGGAGCACTCTTCTCCTTTCGTTGGCCTGTCTCGCGCAGTCAACAAGCGCTCTCACTCTGCACGAGCGCGCCCAGCCCGCTACAGTTCAATATGATATCCATCGGCGACAGGGCTTGAGCCATGCTCGCCACAAACGATCAGCGCCGGAGACAGATATCGACAACGAAGTAAGCTCCCATACTGGCCGGTGTGATGTAGATTTTCTAACAATCGCTCCAGGAAACGTATTATGCGATCACTTTGAACCTCGGCACCCCCTCACAGGCGGTGGAAGTGATTCTGGACACCGGCAGCAGCGACCTCTGGGTCAACGCAGGCAACTCGAGTTCCGACAACCCCTATGGGGTCTTCGATTCATCCTCTTCCTCCACATTCAACGTTGTCAACGACGAGTTCGCCATCATGTATGTGGACGGAAGCGGGGCCATTGGAGACTACGTGACCGACACCGTCGCCTTCGGGAACGTAACCCTGACCGACTTCCAGTTTGGTCTGGCTGAGGAGAGCAGTACTCAACGTGAGTAGCCCCTCTGCGACCGCTCCCTCTTTATTGGTTTCCCATTCAACTGACCACGTACACAGAGGGCGTATGTGGCATCGGATACGCCAGCAACGAGTACGCCGACCTCCGCAACGACGAGGGGTACGCGAACCTGCCGGAGGCCCTCGTGAACCAGGGCTACATCAAATCCGCGGCGTACAGCCTGTGGCTGGACGACATCGACGCGGGCGAGGGCACGATCCTGTTCGGCGGGATCAACACGGCCAAGTACAGCGGCAGCCTGCACACGTTGCCCATCCAAGCCGAACAAGGCGAGTACTCGGAGCTGGCGGTCAACCTGAGCGGCGTGCACGTCACCCAGGCCGGGAAATCGATCAGCGTCAACAACACCGCCTTCCCCGCCGTCAGCGTGCTGGACAGCGGCACCTCGCTGACCTACCTCCCCACGGGCACCGCCATGGACATCATCGACGCCGTGGGCGGCGAGTACTACGAGAGCCAGGGGCTGGCCGTCCTGAAGTGCGACGCCGCCCGGAAGAGCGACTACGAGATCGTCTTCGCCTTCGCCGGCTTCAACCTCTCCATCCCCCTGAGCGACATGCTCCTGGAAGCCAGCTTCGGGTACTGTGCCCTCGGCATCGCCCCGGAGAGCGAGATCGCGAGCGGCGGCATCTACCTGCTGGGCGATACCTTCCTGCGCAGCGCCTACGTCGTCTACGACCTCGCCAACAACGAGATCCACCTCGCCAAGACGAACACCAACCCCGGGCCCGACCATGTTCTGGAGATTGGGACGGGAGCCACGGCCGTGCCCCAGGTGACGGGGACGCCGAACACGCAGACTGCGAGTGCCGCGACCGCGACCGCGACGGGGAAGAGCGGTAGCGGCAGTGGGAGCAGTGGCAAGGGCAGTGACAGTGACTCGGACGATCAGAAGGAGAACTGGGCCCCTGCGTTGCGCACTGACTTCGCCTCCCTCCTGGTGGGTGTGTCCTTTGTGGCCCTGCTCTTGGCGTTGTAGATGCTCGGTTGTCCTTGTAAATGGGTGTCCCTCACTGTATATATTGTTCATATGTAGTAATGATGATGAGCTGTATCGACTTGTATATAAGCCACACTCTCTCCAAATATGATTGCAAAGGCTTACTGCCACGAAACCTCCCAAGAAGTCTCTCATCCACTAGCCTACTGTCCGGGCTCCAATGGAATCGTATGTACGACGTATAGCGTAGAATCGCGGTTTCCTGCGTTCGACAGGCTAGTAGCCCGACATGTAATGCGCATCTAGATGATCGCTGCCGCGAATAACTCGCAAGACTAGGTAGTTCCGGTTATCTCCCTCTGGCCCCCGAGCGGACGATCTCCGACCCGTGGTTCGAGGATTAAGGCACCGTGGCCATTCCCGCCCTCTGCTCCCTTTCAAACAAGGTTGTGACGACTGCAACACAAGCTAAGTGACGATTATCAAATGACCAAATGAGATTAATGTACAGTATACCAATACTATGAAGATTAGCACATTCTCACTGATAAACTTACTCTTGTCTCGCTGTCGAAAAGAATACCCCTGCACCCGCCGGGGGGGCTAGTGAAGCCCTAAGGAAGCCGAGGGCCAGCCAAGCATCCGTCTCAGAACACAATCTGCGAGTTCTTGGATGTGCTGCATGCTTGAATATCTATTACTCTAGCAGTGCGTGTCCCTCATTAACAACAGGCTCCCAGAAGTGTCACCAACGGTCGGATTGAGAGGCAAGACGAGCGGCGGGTGCTTGGCAATGGAATATAACACACGGACAAACCAATCCACAAGTCTGCACTTCGCCCGAACAGCTCCAGGAACCCAAAGGAGGAGCCCGAGGCCACTAGTAGGTTGATTTCTTTGGGGAAAACTGCATTGTACAGTACCTACAGTGTGCGTTATCTCTAGATAAGCCTAGCCCACCCCGCACTGCAGGTCCGGGAAAGCGGGTTAGTGCAGCCGCCACCCTCATCTGGGCATGATAGCGACGACCCTCCTATAAATCGCACATTGTCGCTTGAGAGATCATGGGACCATCCAAACAAAAATCATCTTGACAGCCATGCATTTCAAACGCACCATCAGCATCGTGGACTGCCACTGCGCCGGGGAAGTTGGCGACGTGATCGTGGGCGGCGTGCTCGACCCGCCCAACTGCAGCACCATGTACGAGAAGCTGGCGCACTTCCGCGACCACGAGGACCACATTCGCCAGCTGCTGCTCAACGAGCCCCGCGGCCGGCCGGCCATGTGCATGAACCTCGTCCTGCCGCCGTGCAACCCCAAGGCCGACGCGGGGTTCCTCATCATGGAGAGCGAGGAGTACCCGCCCATGTCCGGGGGCAATCTCATCTGCACCACCACCGTGCTGCTGGACACGGGCATGGTGGCGATGCAGGAGCCTGTGACGGAGCTCCTATTGGATACAGCTGCTGGCCCCGTGGCCGTCACCGCCGACTGCGCGAATGGCAAATGCACTGCGGTCGCGTTCCACAATGTGCCCTCGTTTGTCTTTGTTCTAGATCTTCCTGTCGAGGTCCCGGGGTTGGGGACGGTGTCTGTGGATATTGCTTGGGGTGGGATGATCTATGCCATTGTTGATGCGACGAAGATTGCGGGGGGGTTGAAGATTGAGAACCGCAATGGGCCGAAGTTGATTGAGATCGGGGAGCGCATCAAGCAGGCTGTGCAGCAGAGTGACTTCGTGCCTGTGCATCCGGACAACCCCCAGATCCGAGGGGTCAGTATCTTGGAGTTCACTGAGCCGTTGACTGGGTCTGCTTCGACGGGCGATTTGACGGCTGTGAACACGGTGGTGGTGTCACCTGGGCGATTTGACCGGTGTCCCTGTGGAACGGGGAGCTCGGCACGCATGGCGGTGATGCATGCGCGGGGCCAGCTGCAAGTTGGGGAGAGATTTCAACACCGCAGCATCATCGGCAGTAGCTTTGAGTGCTGGATTGAGGGGACCACGCGGGTGGGCCAGTACGAGGCGGTGCTTCCGGTTGTCAAGGGCAGTGCATGGATCACCGGGTTTCGTCAGGTGGGGTTAGATCCCACTGACCCATTCCCAGTGGGCTTCAGAGTTGGAGATCAGTGGCATGTAGCGGATGATGCTCGAATTTCCGAGGACTGATAGTGAATGGTGGGATCCGATATTGAGGGTTAGTCTATCCGGAGTGAGGATTACCCCGCGGTGCGGTGCGGGGTATACCACGTACATATGTAGGTATCAACACTAGCCCTTCAATCTGAGAGCTCGGAATCTTACATAAAACGAGCTTTGTACCCCATATCACGTACAATTACTTCTACTGTTGTATCCTGGTACCAATTTCGGACAGGCTCATCACATGATCAGAGAGATCACAAAACCGGGCACCAAGACCTGGTGCAACAGATGAAGTAAGTAGGTCACACAGGGACCATGCTTCTACTCCATTCGATAAGATTAGCCGCTTACAGGATGGATAAGGGATAGACAAGCAGCGAACATGGTCTTATCAAAGGTATCCGTGGCTTAAGGCCAGTGGTTGTCCTTCGTCATAAACCACCCATGCGAAAGGAAGAGACGAAAGAAAGAGAGCAGGGAGAAGAGAATAAGAGGGGCAGGACAACAAACAAGAAAGAGAAATGAGATGCTGAGTTCACTGGCGAGCCGGAGATTGCCCCATGTGGTGGATTCCAGGCAATCTGGGAAAGATCGACCGGTGGAACCACCTTATCCACAGCCTACAAGTGGAGCGCAGTTGCTCACTGAGTCACTAGACACGCGGCAGCTGAGGCGGTGAGCTCCTATGGCCAGTCAGGAACCAGGGGGGGTGGTCTTTCAGTGGCTGGCTGAACACAGTGTGGAAGTGAATCAGCCACAGCATTGCGGTATTTATCTATGCCCCTCAACATCTCTCTTGAACCGGTCCTCCCTCAACACACATCCAACCCTACATCCATCACTTCAGAACATTCATCTTCCACAGTCAAGCTCTCAGCATATCTCGAGATGCCTGTCACGATCCACACCGCAGACCACAGCACTCGACAATGGCACAGAGAGCGCGTAACGAGCGACGAGATGCTCTTGGAGCAGTCCTGCGAGGATGAACACAAGCAAAGCCAGCGCATCATCCGGAGCGGCTTCTCTCACCCCTTAGAAAACAATCACGTCACCGGTGCGAGCAACGGCTTCGTCGACGCCCTCTTTGAAGCCTACTGCCACCATCACGACTTCACCGTTCGGCCCGAGGACATCTGGTTCGCGATCCTCAGTCAGGTCTCCTTCTACATCAACGCAAACGCCGAGAAGCTCCGCTCCCAGTTCGTCACCCACGAGGGCCGCAAGCAACTCAGAGTATACGCTGGTGGGACCATTGACACGGTCGACTTCGGCGCGATCGCGCTCGCCCTGTCGACCGCGATCCAGGAGAACGTGGTGGACCCGGACCTGCGCGCCTGGGTCATGCCTGACTTCAGCACCACCACCGAGAATGACCGGGTCGTGGCAGCGATCCTGCTGATGGGGAGCATGCAGGAGTACTTCAGCCTATCGGTCTTCCTGCTCTGCGGCATCCCCAGCGTGACCATGCTCGGCGAGCGGGAGGACTGGGAGATGCTGGTGGAGAAACTGGACCGGCTGCCCGCTTTGGGGGATGAGCCGGCGCGATTTGCGGCGCTGCTCCGTCCGGTGCTGACCCGGTTCGTGGCTTGCTTTGACGATCCGACGGGCCCGGCGGCCCGGGAGTTCTGGGGTCGGTGTGTACACCGGTTTATTCCGGGGAGTGGGGAGGACTTTCTGTCGGGCTGGGTCACGGCGTTTTGCTTCTGGAGTGCGCAGGGTCAGTTGATTCCTGACACGGGTTTGCATAAGGGGGCGGTTAAGTGTGAGCTTGACGGCGTACGGTATCCTTACATCAACACGTCGGCTATTCCCCCGGGATTCTCCTCGGTGCCAGTGCATGTGAATGATAACGGGGTGGATTATGACACGGTGATGGTGGCGGGGATGATCGGGATTGATGCCAAATCCAGTGGCCGGCCACTAGAGGAGCCTCTCGCTGACGAGACTACGGGCTTGGATTCTCTGCAACCCGTCGCGGGCTGGGTGATGTATCACAAGAAAGACAAGTCGGAGGGGGAGAAGGAGTGTTAAGAGAGAGTATTTGATTCTTCAAGCTAGCTAGTCTATTTTGTGAGCTGATACTCACGACAACGATGTTGCTACCTTCATAACACCTATCCCTTCTATATCTCGGACCCAGTTGCCCGTTTTGGGTTTCTTACAATCCTTTCTTTTGTTTATCCTGTCATCACAGACTCTCATAAGAATAACATTGCCTGGTAGAATAACCAACATCGTTATCCATCGATTCCGTTACCTCTGTCTATTCAGTCTATTGGAAATTTTCCCTTTTCTTTGTGGGTCTGCCAATGCGGTTAACGGTAAGTGTCGTGCGTGGACAAGCACCCAAGCTTCTCCAACATTGAGAGGCATCCTCTAGTAGGCTAGTTGTATGACTATAATTTCACCTCTGGTCTGAAAAACACTTCGTTGGTTTAAGTAGGATCCCATATCACCCGACAGGAAGACGAGCCGGTGCCCTAATCAAAAGGAATCTTGGCGAAGACCTTCCAGCTCTATGCGGGCTACGACTCATCTCTTTGTGGTTGGAGGTAGGTGACAAGTGTAGGGCGAATTGAGGCAAAAAGTTTTGCCAAAAAGGATATGGTCGGCTTTGGCAAGAACGGGCATAAAATGTGACGCCCTAACCACTCGGCCATCTTGCCACTCAATTTGTCCTATGATGATTAAATCAATCTATTCATCTCTGCAGAAGATCATTGCAGGAAATCGTGCCTCGTACGTTCTTTTCCAGTGACTCGATGCAGAACTAACTTTATGTATACCTTGGTACTGTGCTTGAGAGAGCTCTATCCCTGCCTTTTTGAGGGCCCAGATGTGTGTAAATCCTCTGACATGCGCCATCGACACAGGCGGCTGTATCCGCAATTATCGTCAGGGTTCAGTGGAACCCCAATGCTCTTCCAGGCTGGGGAGTCCCTATCACAAATTACTCTCAGATGACGAGAAGAAGACTATACCCTGTGGGAAAATATCCCCAAATTTAAGTGCCCTTCCTTCATGCCCCAAGGCTGTAGTGATAGTCGTATATTGGGCCGGGTTAGGAAAGTGGAGAAACTGCACGTTGATTAAGGGGCTTGATTTAATGAAGTGAAATCATAACCACGTTTTTGACACACCAAAAGAAGGGGGCAGAGCCTCAAGCCTCCTTGCGAGAAGATGAGTCCATTGGCTAGAACTTTCTATGCAGACCCACTGCCCCTCAAGTGGAATGCTGGCAGTTTAGATAGCATGATCGCAGTCGACCAGCACGGTTCGCGCCCTGAACAGAACAGACTCCTTCATCCTTTCGGGTTTCACCGACGTCGGCTACAGAGTATGGCCTGGGTCTAGTCACGCTTGCAGAGAGACTTCCAATCTTGCAAGTGCGGCAATTATTGCTGTCAGGAGAAGGTAAGTAGTCTGCCCGGTCGCCGCATCCGCATCCAAAAGGTACAGTACTTTCCTCTACAGGCTCTTTGTTGCCCGTCAGTCGAGATGCTTGGTCTAAAGGGTGTCGCGACCTTCGCAACAGCGGCCACGCTACTGCACAAGGTTGCTGCCAGAGCGGTCTTTGCACATTACATGGTCTGTATATAATTTCAATCATGGTGAATATTCCCGTTGATGATTGGAACCTTGTGTCGTAGGTTGGTACGGTGACGCAAGAACACGCGCAAAAGGACATCGATGATGCCAAGGCCCTCGGGTGAGTCTCCTGAAGCCGCTCGATCTTCCCATTACCGTGCTTCGCTGACACAATTATAGGTTCGATGGTTTCGCCCTCAACATCGGCGATGCCACCCAAGACTTTGTGTCGGACACGTTGTCGTACATGTTTCCGTATGCAGAGTCCGTCGGGTTCAAGCTCTACATCAGCATGGATGTCTATGCTTCTGGTGATGCTTGCTACAAGAAGAAGACGTCCTGCAATGGGGTAACGTAATACTAAAGGATCTATTAGAATACAGGATTAACTTGAGTAGCCTTTCGACTATCAATGGGTCTGGGACGGATACAAAGCCAGCTCTGCATATTACCAGATTGACGGGAAGGCTCTGATCAGCAGTGAGTATCTGGGGCTTATTCTCTAGTTTGAGACATTCGTTACATTACTGAACTACCTGATGTGTAGCGTTCTCTTCTGGTGGATTTCATAACACAAACTGGACAAGTGAACATCCACACCTTTCATGATGAGTTCCTACAGCGAGCTAATCTGTCGATAATCAGAATGGAAAAACGGTCTTGCGAACGACATGTTCTTCATGCCAGACTTTGACGAGACGGACGGTTACTACGAGGCTGCTGATGCCTGGTGGTAAGGTTCCCCCCTGCCGACAGTTGTGTCCATGTACTGAGAGATATAGGGACTACTGGGGCAATGTCGTCGACGGTATCTTCAGCTGGGAGACTTCCTGGCCCGAGAGGAAAGGCTTTGGTGGCCTAACTGCTGGAGACGTTAGTGTAGATGTCTTGCCTATGGCCGGAGCCCACAATCGCAGCAAGCCATACATGATGGGTAAGTCAACACTTTTGTACTGGTGGCAAAGGGTCTCTACTAACGAAAGTAGGTTTGAGTCCTCTTCAGTATAAGAATGCGGTGAGGAATTCGGGAATTGATTGAGAGTTAACTCTTTTGCTAACTTCACATCAGTACGGTGCAAATGTCTACCGGCAAGGTGATTTAAACCTTGTTAAGCGCATGGATAATATCCTGAATATGGACCCGCAGCCGGATTATGTCCAGTTCATCACCTGGGTAAGAGTCTCTGTCTACCAGATACTGCGAAACGTCCTCGCTGACAAGTGCAGAATGACGGGCCCGAAAGCCACTACATTGGAAACCTGTGGACGGAGCAGAATAACGACACGCAACCGTGGTTCTACGCAAACCAAGAATTCTGGCCCCACACAGCCTGGCAGCCTCTTATGGCATCTTTTATCGAAGCATACAAAAATGGAAAGAAGTCTACGGAGATGGCACCACCGACTGGTCAGGTGGCTGGCGCTATGTGGTATAAGACTATTCTTGTTGACTCAGTGGACTGTGGCTATGAGTTAGCAGGCCAGTACTACGAAAAGCCCGACGGTTTTACGGCTGGAGTCGACGACGTCTGGTGGTCGGTCATTCTGAGTCCTGACGCTGGTACGGGGTGGAAAGTCAAGATCAGTGGCGAGGTCGACCATGAGGGCGCACTTCACGCCGGACTCAACTGGGGAAACAGCGCGAACAAAGTGTCCGGAGCCCAGCTCCTCCAAGTCATCAACCCCTCGGGGGAGGTGGTCATGTCCGCCACCGGAGGGCTCTGTGTCGATACTGGGTGCCCCAACCTCATCTACAACTCCAACTATCAGGTCATACCCCTGGAGGAGGGGAGCAAGTCCAAGCAATGTACCGCCATCTCCAAGGCCGAGGACACCACTTGCAGCGGTACCAGTTGCAAGAGCACGGTCTTCGATGGAAATGGGCCGTCGGCCTGGCGCAACGTCGACTGCACTTGGTATACCGTCGAGAATGCATCCTACAATGCAGCGACCCGCTGGAACACAATCTTCACGGAGTCTGCGTGGGCTGACCTGAATCAATACTGGTTGAGTCACCCGCACGAAGGAGAACTAAACTACACCAATGAGGTTTGTTTCATGTTCTTGTCAAAGGTTGTTGTGAGCTAAGCCTATACTCAGATCAGCAACCTAGTCCACGGCCCCGAGCACATGGACTGTTCAAAGATGGCAGACAGTGTGGGCTGCGACAGTTTCGTCCAATGTGACGATGTGAACCATCCAGCGGGCTACTTCATCCTCAACGGATACGTATCTATCCACAATGTACGTTGTGCACAGTCCTTTTCTGTCATGAGAGTTGTTATCACCTAACCATACCATGAAGTTCTTCTGGAACACACACACCGCACTCACAAGAGTTCAAGCTTCCGTGACCAACCAAATTGGAGATCTGACGACGACGTTTGCCGAGTTCCCTTCCTCAACCCTCACCGATAACCTTGTCATGGACTTCCTTGGCCTCGGGTTTGCGCTGTTCACCAGTCCCATCTTCAACTATGGTATGCCCTGCAGTCATCTATTTAGAGGTGAGGGCTTCAATCGGCTGACCACCTCTCGATAGCACTTACCAAGATACCGTACTACTCGGAGAACCCCCTTCAACTAAGCAACCTCAAGGACACTATCAATGCATTGGTAGCAAACGGAGTCACTATCATCAAAGATGTGATTGCTACGGAGTGAGTTCCAAAGGCCAAACCACAGGACTAATCTCTAACTGCGTTTTAGCTCCACGCCCCTAGAACTCGGAGTCGAGAACACGCTCGAAAAAAGGCTAGACAGTAAGAACACCCTAACAACAGGTACACGCCCACTATATATGCACCCATAACCTAACACCTTCCGTAGCGATCGTCCAAGTCTGGTACAGCACCATTGACAGCATGAACGAAAGCCTGTTCAACGGGACCTCTAACAGCATTGATATTCTCCATGACCTGGTGACCGACGGCAAGCTACTGGAAACCAGCTTCGACACACCCAGCGACTCGGACATCGCTGCAATGGTGGAGAAGGCCATATTCGGCCTGCTGATTCCACTGACTTGGACTCTTTCGCCCGACACTCACAATGCTGTGTAAGTCGAATCATCTTGTCGATAAATCAATTCAGACGGCATACTAACTACCCATGTTCTTCTATTAGGGTGGTTGATTCGCAGTCAACATGCGACACATCCAACCCACTCTCCTCCTACATCTCCAGCAGCGTGGCCAAGTCGGGATACGTGTGCTACAATAACAACATCTACTACCTCGTGGATGTGGTGAGCCTTGATCGGTACTGTCAGTCGAACTCCCAGGGCGGGCAGCTCTGTCGCGATCCGACCGTGAACAAACTTCCAGGGGTCGGGGAGCTGGATGGAAGCAGCTGGGGAGGAGTCACTGTTGAGGATTTGGTCGTTGGGTATGTATCTCTGTTTGCTGCAATGGCAGCGGTCTGCCTACTCAAGGTTTCTCGAAGCTGTACTGACGAAGCGATCGCCCTAGTGCCTTGAATACGTGGACGCAGATGGGCAATACCTCCAGCTTCCTTAACCCAAGCGATATCGGCGCCCTCGATGATATCTTCGATCAGGGAATTCGGTCTGCTGGGGTGGTTCATATCCCTGTGGGGACGATCTCGGAGCTCAAGAAAACCATCGATTAGGGCTAGTCAGTTGTGAAAATTCGCATGACATTGAAGGCGACCATGCTGGGCTGGCTCTTTGATTTCTGTACGCAGGATCTGATCTTTTGTTTTCTTGATACGGCGAAGCGAAGATGAGCTCTCTTGTATATTCTCTGATCGCGGAGTTTTCGTTAAGGTCTTGCAAGATCATACCTCTGTTGACTACCTTGATTAGGGGGTGTGAACAGTTAGCTGTTGCTAGAATGATATCACGTGCAGCCCAAGTGTAGAGAGGACAGTTGCCCTACAACCTGTAGCAGGAGTCCTTAGATGGGGACAAGAAGCTTTGGTGACAGGATCTGAAATTCTATGGAGCAAATCATTGGCTGGATTGATTTCTGACGATTCGTTTGGCCCAGCGATGAGACGCTGTCATCATTTATACTAATAAGACCCGCTGCCTGATCCCCAGGGCCCGCTTTCTGGATTCTCAAACCAAGAAACCCACGCCATACAATAGTCCGCTCAGGAACAGCTAGCTTCTGCAGTTTGAGGGAACCATTAAATCAGTGCCATGATCCAGGGTACTCTATCGTCTGCCTCTCCCACTCCGGTTCTCGAAGGATTTTAGGCTCTAGCCCCAGCGCCCGATACCCACTCTGGATGGAATTGACCACGCTCTGATAACCCTCATCCGCCTCCTCCTCCTCCTCCTCCTCATCAATATCCCACTCGTCCCGTACAAAATTGAGCATACACACCAGAACATCGGGTTGTTCTACGCCGTCCATCGCCGCCCACGGTGCGATCATCAGCCGGAGAAAAGGATCAGCGCACTCGCCCCACCAGATGATGTCGTGAGGCAAGCTGTCCTGGGAGGTGAGGTCTGGGTGGAAGAACAGCAATTCGAACAGCGCTTCCATGCGCAGACCCTCATGGGACTTCTGCAAGATCGGGCTCTTAGCTAACCTCTTTCTTGCCCCTGATGAATATTCCTTCTTCTGGCTTTTCTGTCACCGGGGCATACCATCATCTCATACGAGCCGTAATACGCGGTATGGTGCTGGTGTTGCAACAGGCCGAGCGAGTACGCCGGCGGCTGTTGGACGAGCATGGAGCGCCAGCTCGCTTCGGGGCGCAGGAACGCTGCTTGCTTGGCAGGGTCTGTGACAAAGTCGAGACCGCAGATGCCATATCTCCAGGGGCGGGGCGGGAAGAAGACGGGGAAGGCGGTGGTAAGGAGGGGATTGATGAGAGTTGGCTGCTGGCTTGGTGAGCTGTCACTCCTCGTGTTATTCTCCGGATCGCTTGCCGTGCGGCGGCGGCGGCAGGGCTTGAAAACCAGCTTCTCCTGCAAATGCAGCGCATTTCTGGATCGTGCCATACCAGTGGGTGCTGACACGTTGGGCGGAGGTTAGGAGGGTTCGTTCATCAAGGGAGAAGAGGATGAGCTCTGGAAGCTCGGGCAGGGCGAGCACATGCTCCATTGCGACAGCCATCGGTCTCGATTGCAGCGATTGCAGCGGTTGCAGGGGCCAATCTTCATGTCGTGCTGTAAGTACAGTACTATGTAAGATTCTGTTCAGGTATGGTATGGAGGAAGCCCAGGGTTGGTGCGGGAAGGAAACTTGGAAATGCGGGGATCAGTCGATTTGGTCGAGATTTTCGCCGCCTTCTGCACTGACTTGATTTCTGCAGTGAAGGTCATATTGCTGTAAGGGATGTCTCGGCTCATGAAAGTAATACTTATTGTTATTCAAGATGAATACCTATTAGTATAAAGAATAGATTCACCAGCTTATAGATTGAGCGGGTGATTTTTCAACTTAAGACAAGAATAGATTGTCAGATATCTTTAAGTCTATGTACTTTGATTAGTTGCATTTTTACAAAAACTAGATTATACTTTTATTGACTAGCTCAACTAGAATGATGTTAGCTAAGCTTCTTACTAGAAGCACATAAGATATGTCTTAAGTCCCGGGGGAATACTGCAACCTCACGCGCGAGTCCTTACACAATGCTATACTCCTCTTTCCAGCCCACACTTCCCACAATTCACTGCAATGAAACTCATCCCCAAACTGCTGAATGGTTTATTCGAAACACTCATTTATGTACTATACGCATAACCACCAACAGATCAGTCCCACGTTCTAGAATACTCCCACATCTGCCTTTCCCACTCCGGCCCCGCCAACACCTTCGGCTCCAGCCCCAGCCCCCGGTACCCAGTCTGCACAGCCTTCAGCACGTCCCGATAATCCTCATCCTCTAGCTCAGATTCCGTTGATGTACAAGTGGCAAAGAAGCTCACATGCACCAGCACACCGGGCTGTTCCACCTTCTTCACCTCCTCCGCAAAGGGCTCAAGCAACCTCCCGAACTTCGGCTCCGCGCCCTCGCTCCACCAGATGATCCCGTCGGGGCAGTTGAAAGCGTCGATGTCCTGGTGGAAGAATAGCGCTTCGAACAGTGCTTCCATGCGCAAACCACCTTCCGTCTTCTGGGAAAAGGGGTCTCGTGTCAGTTCAAACCCCTAACCTTTCTTCTCCTCTTCCTGTGCGACTATATTGATGGGGAGATCAAGGGGAAGACGAACATCGGTTTCATTTCCGAATGGGTTAGTTACGGTTGGGTAGCGTACGTACCATGATCTCATATGAGCCGCCATACCCGAGTTGCCCGCCATGATGTTGCACGATGCCGAACGAGGATGTCGGTGGCTGCTGGATGAGCATAGTGCGCCAGCTTGCTTCGGGGCGCAGGTACGCTGTTCGCTTGGCCGGGTGCGTGATGAGTTCTAGGTCGGCGATGTTGAATTCTTGGTCGCTGTGTGGGGAGATAGCGTTGTTGGCGTGGAAGATTGCGGGGAAGGCTGTTGTTAGAAGAGGGTTGAAGATCGGTTCCGGTGAATAGTGCCTCTTGGTTATTGCTCGGGGCTTGAAGAATAGCTTCTCCTGCAAGGAGGAGGAGCCTCGGACTATACTTCTCCACTGCGTGCAGGCCCGCTGGGCTGAGGTCAGGAGGGTTCGGAGGTCAAGAGAGAGGAAGATGGGCTCGAGGAGCTCGGGGAGGGCGAGGACTTGGTTCATTGGTAAGAGGTCTTGGAGGCGAGACGGGGTGTAGTGAACTATTTCTCGACTATATGATATTACTTTGTAAGTGCTCGAAGAAGTCATTCCAAGACCTTGAAGAGAATAAAATAAGAAGGCGGGGAGCGGAAATAGTCAAGCGTGAGAGTCAGAACCCGCGTACGGGTGAGATTTTAGTGTCTCTTTAGCACCAGACTCATTGATCCACTTGAGCCCTAGCCACTTACACCCCCTGAATACTCACAAGGGAAAGGTCAGAAGTATTACTGTGTTCTACCAGAACTTTACCTCGAACACAGTTCTCGAATTGCTGTTTCACTAATTAATCCATGATATGACTCTGGCAATCTCATACACCATGTTAAGTCGAAGCTCCCAAGCTCAAGCAACAGTATCTATTGTTGAAACGGCTTGATCGGCTTGGGCGGTTCCACCCAGTCAAACTTGCCCAACATCTTGGTCAACCAGACATCCCCGGGCTTGTCCGCCATGCGCGGCGTCGAGTCATCGAACATCGAGCCACTCAAGAACGTATGCGGGAACCCAAAGTCAAACGGATACGCACCCTCGATCTTCTGCATATCCTCATCACTGAGCGCCACGCTCAACCCAGCCACGCTGCCCTGGAGGTGCTCGACCTTGCGGGCCCCGACAATGGGGAACACGTAGGGCGCCTTCTGCATCACGTAGGCCAACGCCACGCTGACGAGGCCCGCGTCCTTGGCGGTGCCGAGATCCTCCAGCACGGCCGAGACCTTCTTATCGTGCTCGGACGTGGGGATGAACTTGCGGCCCGGGTTATGCTGCGCGCGCTCCTGGAACCCGCGGCGCGTCTGGAACCGGCCCTGGTTGAGCACCCCGTAGGGACACAGCGCCATGCCCTCCGCCCGCGCCATGGGGATGATCTCGCGCTCGAAATCCCGCATACCCGCGCTCCACATCCCCTGGTAGACGGCGAAGGGCCGCAGGCCGTGGTCGCGGGCGTACTGGTTCGCCTTGGTGACGACCCAGGCGGGGGTGTCCGAGATGCCGAGGTAGATGACCTTGCCGGCGACGACGAGGTCGTTGAGGGCGTGCATGAGCTCCGGGATCGAGGTGGTGTAGTCCCACCAGTGCACGTAGAGCAGGTCGAGGTACGCGGTCTGCAGCTTCTGGAGGGAGGCCTCGACGCTGACCTTCAGGGACTTGGCGTTGTTGCCGCCGTAGTTGGACTGGATGCGGTCCCGGTGGTGCGTCATGTACGCCGTCGTGTATTTCGTGGCCAGCACGATCTGGTCGCGGTTCTGCCGCGCCGCCATCCACTCCCCCACCAGCACCTCCGACTCGCCTTCCTGGTACCCGCTCGCCGTGTCGAGGAAGTTCCCGCCTTGCTCGTAAAAGTGGTCCAGCAGGGCGAATGCGTCTTCCTGCGTGCAGTCGCCGTACCGCCCCTGCTGGCGGCCGCCGAAGGTCATCGTCCCGAGGCAGAGGGGCGAGACGCGGACGGCCGCCGCCGGCGCCAGTTGGCGGTGGTGGAAGAGGGGGCTGTTGTCGCGCGCGTTTTCGGTCATCTTGTGCGGCTGGCTTGTTGCTGATAGAAGATTGATGGATTGGGGTCTCTGTTGGCTAGCTGGATTCGATTTATAGTATGTCGTGCCAAGCTCTTCCGAGGTGAATTGACTGATGGAACTAAGCAAGAGGGGCCATTGACGTCAGTTTACCCTGTCAGTGGGGAACATCATTCAGGGTCCTGAAGTCTGAATTGTGAAGAATCCTGCTATACCCGCATGTCTTCTTTGGTTGATTGGCTTATGCAGGTCAGCACTTAAACGAGATTTCGGAGAATGCGGAGATAGCGAGGGCTGGTCGAAAGACGGAGATAAGAGTGGTCCCGGTCATCATTTAGGGTTACTTTCTCTCGCGACACGTGATTGAGATAATGTGGATTTTGCAGGCCAAGACACGGAGTCTTCTGTGCGAGTTGTATGCATTGGTAAGAAATTTCTATTCTTGTGAGACAATTTCAGATACAGCGTGAGCAGGTAACACATCAATACATGTTTCAGTACAGCATTTCCGTCATTTCAGTGGGTCGGGAGGGCGGACACAGAGCAAGAATCTGCAGTGTCACTGTTGTAGTTCGACTGTACAGTTCAAGTTGTTCGGGAATTCTTGATTGGGGCATCATTCCAATGCATCACCAAAGTAACCATGTGACGTTGGGTCAAACTTTAACACGTGAGGCCTATGCAGGGAGGTATATAATGAAACATGATGTTGGTCATCCGTCTTTGATGAGTCGTGGCAGTATTATAGCATAGTCAACCTTTATTACTTCCGTCGCTTCTTTTCCTTCTCGGCTAAGCTTTTGTCGAGCTCTGCAATGCACCGTTGAAGAGTGGTGTTGCATTCTGACAGCATGGCCTTCAGCTCCTGGTTCTGGCGGTGCATATCAAGGAATGAGCGCTGCTCGGAAGCTTTGGACGATCGATTCAAGTGGAGGTTGGTGCTTAGGGTGGGGTCATTTTGATCGTTCGCCGTCGAGCGCTGTGATGTTGTCTTTTCGTGGGTCTTCGATATCGTCGAAGGTGTCTTTCTGCGTTAGCTTATTTGAGTGAATCTCTGCAGGTTCGCCCTGCCTTACCTTTTTGTCTTTGCTACTCATCTTTGTGTATGTACCCTGAAGGTCCCTCCGATGATTCGAACTGAGTCTTGTGACACCCAAATCATAAGTTGAATCAGGACAGCTTCGATCTCCTAATATAGCCAGTCCAACTCCCTGCAGACCCGCAGGCGAATAAACAAGAATCCAGACTTCCGAAGAACCTACAACACATCATCCGCTCCGCACCAGGATGAACCCCCTATATGCTGCGTAGCGGGAATAGAAGTAGGGCTTATCGCGGCACCATCGGCGGCCGTTCCTGGCGATAACCCCCCGACAAAAGTACCGGGTCGGGGTGATCGCCACCCCCTGAGCAGGAAAAGGAAAGGCAACCGACGCGCAACAGAGACCCTGCCGGGGTAACTTACCAATCAGGGTTGCCGCATCACCGAAGCCTCAGAAATCATGTACTTTACAAAATGCAAGCAAACACGCCCTGCTCGGTAGAGCATCGCCATGCGATAGGAACCATTGGAGGCCGAATATCCGTTCTTGCCGCTCTAAGCGCTATATGCCGGCATTGACCGTGTTTCAGAACGAGACCGCTCTGCACGCGTTGCATGTACCCAACGTGTCTATACAGGTGTGTTTGCTCTGGTGCTATTTCGAATCTGAGTACTCTTAGTTTCTTCTGGCTTTGTGATACATACAACTTTGTCGGTTGTCAGTGTTGCATGGTTGCTTTTGCTTCCGTCGAGCCATGGACTTAGGGCATTGCTCCGCGGCAACTAGCCGGAGCGGTCATCATAATCATCACTACTAACGAGTCTAGTTCCACAGATAACTCTGTAGACAAAGTCAGCTCAACAAGACTCTTAACAAGTGGAAAAACCAAGGAGAGTTGTAACTTGTATATTGCAACATCACGCGCCAGGAGCGTTCTTGCATAGTCCATAGTCCAGCCGTCGCCGTAGTTTCCAGCATGCATGGTGGCTGTTTAAGCGACGGGAGTAACCTAATTCTGTACGTTCGGAAAAGCAAATATGGCAAACAGACAAGAAATAGGCCATGGCCCACTCGGTAGTGGTCTCGAACCTGACAACGCAGACATCTCACTGGTCAAAATGCAAATCCCCCGCATAGGTTGTAAACCGCACGACTGCTGTAACTTCATGTGCGCTGAAGGGATCATGCTGCAGACAACATACTTGAGTTGGAGCTGCTCTTAGGGCACACACTGCTGGTATTGCCTTGGGAGGTCTTGGGATCGATCATCTTGATTTTCAATAGTGAAAGAAGCTTGAGTACAATATTAGCTATATCTTAGATGAAGTGAATAAGTAAGAATGCAGTATAATACAGACAATTTTAAGTGGATTACTCTATATTGTAGCTGGGCTCGTCTACAACCCCGTCAGGAACCCCGCTGTAAAACGACTGGATCTGAGGCCACTCCACGGGGTAGTATGAGCAGTCCACTGCCTCGCGGGGGTATCGCTTGTCGTACCACCGCTTAAACGCATCCTTCCTCAGCAGGTCCTGCGTCGCCCAAGGCAGCGCCAACAACGCAAAGAACTGGAGCTCAATCGCGATATGCGCCAGCAGGTGCTCCGGGTCCACCGCGTTGGCATCGGGTGGCCAGCTGCAGAACGGACAAGCCGTGAGCTTCGAGCCATGCTGGGTGAGCATATGCTCTTTCCAGGCGCGCCCGTCGGCGGAGGGGTACGCAAACACGGGGTCCCGGCAGTTGGGGTCGAGACAGATGTAAGGACACAGGTCCGCCGCGACATGCGCGTTCCAGGCCTCGAACGACCGGGCGACCTCCGGACGCTGGATCTCCAGGCAACCTGGACAGCATGTGAGCCCGTGTGCCGAGTTTTGTTCCACGCAGAGTTCATCCGGCGTGTCCGCGAAGAGGCCGCGCAGGTACGAGGCCGCGGGCGGCGCGGGCAAGGGCACGCTGTCCTTCTTACGGAAAGCCCGCATCTGCCCGGGCGAATACACGAGGTGCGCGCGCTCCTCCTGTGCGTACAGGATCCGGTTGCGCCGCTTCAGGTTGCTCACGATCAAGTGGCTCTGCACCAGCGCGACCCGTAGCTGCTCGTTCCTGGCCCGCAGTAAGTGCGAATTAGGCCTTGGCCGCCGCGATGACGGCTGCTCCTTCTCAATCGCCCAATCCTGCCCACGGCTGAGGATATACGCCGTGCACTGTTGTTCGAACTCGCGATGCCGCGCGGGATCGAACTGCGCATCGGCCTCGCGGAACCAGACCCGTGGCACTGCCGCCGCCATCCCCCGGATGAGGGGCTGCACCTCGTCGGCCAGCGCCCGCATCACCCTCTGCAGGTGCTGCATCCAGGCGATGGAATTCTCCTCGGGGATCCAGGGGACGACGGTCGAGGTTTCCTCTTCCGGTGCCGGCGTCCGCGCGGCGCGCGCCTGATCCACGCGCGCCTGCACCGCCGCGAAGTCGCTGCTCGGCAGGGCGCGCGGCAGGTCATGGCCCCACCAGCAATACCGGCCGCTTAGCTGCACCCACGCATCCTTGGCCGTGGCTTCGAACGCGGTCTCCGTGTCGATTTGCCTTTCGAATGCATAGTCGCGTCCTTTATCCCGACACTCCTGGGCCAGGTCGGCCAGTTCGCAGAGGAAGTCCAGCGCCATCGCCGGCGGGAGGTTGCCGACTTCGTCCCGCACCCTGCGCCGCTCCGCCAGGATGGTCTCCAGCGCCTGGCACTCCTCGACCACTTCCTCCAGGATCTCGACCGTGTTCGGTCCGTCCTCGCCCAGGTAGAATGCGTCCTTGGAGGCGTCGTCGCCGAGTGCGTCCGCCGGAGCCAGGACGCCCAGGCCCCAGAATTCCGCGAGGGCGGTGAGGCACAGGATGGTGGCATCGTGGATGGGGGTTGGAACCGACATGGTTAGAGCTTGTAGAGGGGGTTTGATATAGGTTTTGCTGTACAGCTGCGAAATTCAAAGATCATGATCTTGTTTGGTCGGTTGATTGTGAAGCTGAGAGTGGTGGGTAATCCATTGCCAAATGCGTCAAAGCTGACTCTTTTATATGCGATCTTCGGACGGTATACCACTATAGTAAGAGAATGAAATCCTTCTCATGCTCATTGTTCGTAGCCAGAAGAAAGGCCTGGTTTGTATGGTCAGGGTCATCCATCTTTGTGCCCGTCGTCTATCATGTCGTTGACAAAGGCTTCTAGGATAAAACGTGACTGGAGTATTTTGCATATCCTCCGTTGCCATGAAGGAGTCGTAGGGCTCCATTTGTGGTTTGTTGGTTCGTCTTTGTGTGCTCGGCCTGCGAGCAGTGGGTTTCCGGCAAATCTAGAGACGAGCCAAGGCAACGGTTCATTTGAGGCTGAGGTAGTGTGGCTGCTATCTCTAAGTAGTTTCAAGCGTCTTTCAGATAAAGGAGTCTACCTACATGTTACAGCCTGTGGCTTTGTAGCTTGACTTCATGGAAGAGAGGGATGCTGATTGAAGCTGGTGTGGTGAATCTTCACCAGCCGAGCAGGTGGAAAGCCTTAATTCTGCACCCAGCGGTTCTGTATGCGTTAGATGAGCTCTTAACAAATCCATAGTTCCCAGAATGATCCTTCAAGTACGATTAATCAGCCGATAGCAAAGTCTAAAGTCACAAGTCCAAAATCATTCCGCAACTCAGGATCCAACGCCCCTCATGCAACAAGCTCAAAATACTTCACAAACTCCTCATCCCTGCCAAGGACCTCGTACACGTCCACCGGCGCCTGCACATAGACATCAAAGACCCTGGGCCCCCCGCGCGAGAAATTCGGCAAGATGCTTGCGCACGCGCCGGGCATGCCCGCCTGCACGCGCACGGCCGCCGGCATCACCCCGGCCCCGAGATCGTACTTCTCCACACTGCCCGAGTACCACGTGTTCATGAACAGGTCCATATCCCCGAAGTCGGCGTTGGGGGCGAGGGTCTCTGTCGGCGTCAGAGAGGCCACCAGGCCCGTCATGGCGGCAAAGGAGGAGACGTCGATGCGCGAGATCGATCGGCGGACGTGGCTGGCGGCTGTGGCGAGGCCGCGAGCGGTTGTTCCGTCATCGGCTGATGCGATCAGTTCCTGGGCGGGGAGCGGGCCGGCGAGGGTGCCAAGGACCGCGTTGCCGAAGTACTGGGGTGAGGTCTTTTGGTCTGGATCGCGCGTGCGGACGTCGATGGGGTGGACGAAACAGGTTGGGGTGTTGGATTTGTCCGGGTGGACGAGGAGGCGGGCGCGGGTGATGGCTGTCCAGATTAGGGCGGAGATGCAGTCGTAGGAGGTGATGTAGTCGACGCCGTCGAGGTGGGGGGTGCATTCGGATTTGAGTTGTTGGATGATGGGTTCAGAGATCCGGTAGATGTTTGCTCGGCAGGGTGGAGGTGGGTTAATCTTGAATTGACTCTTCTCGATTACGCTGAAGAATGGGACTTTTGCGAGTTGCTCGGCTCGGGTGATGGCGGTGTCAGGCGCTGGGGTGTTGAACGCGGCTCTGTTGAGGTCCGGGGTGTAGGTGGGCATCGGCTGGCCTTCGAGATGTGCCTTGGTGCTCTGGCTGATAAGAGAGAGGCAGGTATCGAGGGATGTCCAGTCCCCAGCTGCGTGGTTTAGTCTCAGCCCCAGGGTGAGGCCTCCCTCGATGACACCGATTTGTATTTTGCAGGCTGGCTGTTTGCCGACTGGCTCTTCGGGAAGAAACCGGGTCAGGTCCAATTGTGGAGAGAATGAGCCCTTCGCTAAGACAGAGAAAGACTCGCTCTCTGTGGACTCGAATCGGCGGATGTTGACTTCGACTTCGCTTTCAGGTGTGGTCACGCTGCAGAGCTTCCCGGATTCGTTGAACTGGAGGTCTCCTGCCATGAAGGGCAGCTGGCGGGTTGCGTTTCTGATCCCTTCCAGCAAGGAGGAGACTATGCTCTCTGAGTTGATGGTAGCTTGTAACTCATAGAAGAAGACGATTTTCACAGTCTTGGTGAAGCCCATTTTGTCGATATCCGACAGCTCATACCTGATCACCTCACTCATGGCTGCGGGGGTAATTCCTTCGAAATTGGCAAAATAACAACAGAGTTTTCGATCCGGTGAGAAGTAAGAGACTGGACGTCTAGAGACGAAGAGGGTCTTGAAGGAAAGCCAAATATAACAGCTGGGTACAGGCACTGGAGACTGTTATCTGTGCTGATACGAGAAGACCTCAACCTTCAACGTATTTATTTGATGTCGTTTGGCGTCGGAGACCAAGAGCGGCATAGCTCCGTCTGTTCCGTATGAGGTATAGTTCCCGAGATCTTTTCCAAATCGGGTGTCCGACTGCCTAACCTAATATGCCTAAGATCGGCAATCGGTATAGTTGCCGCCCACGGCCACCTGCAGTTGAACTATAACTTGGTTAGATTTAGGCGTGCCATCATTGAGCCCTAACGCTGTGTCAAGTTGATGAACTGTTGCAGTTCTTTCTGTCCCTTTCTCATAGACCATGGACATTTCGGCTGTTCTTCGCTATGATCTCAACGTGTCCAGAATCTCCCTATGCCATACGCAAAGTACATTCCAGCATAGACATTCGTCATGAGATGTTCTATCAGCTGATATAGTAACGATACTAGCAAGGACCAATGCGGATGTTTCATCCATCTTGGAGATATTGCGATTCTACCTCGCTACTGAACTCTACATACATGCAAATCAGAAGCTGACTAAGGCCCAGGCGCACAACTCGCCACCCTGCAGTCATGAACCATGAATACGAGACCACCCGAGCTTCTCATTTGCTACCATTTGAGGATGTAGGGATCATACGGCTACGCGCTTTGTTGTCAGATACACTAGCTCAAGACGGGGTGGAGATGACCTCATCGCACAAGCTCCGTAGCTTCGCGACAAGAGCCCAACTTCTACCAATCTACCAGGGACATTTTGATAGTGCAATGTAATCTTTATTCTGGCAATACTTCATATCCACTCTAGGCCGGATATCTATTCCATCCCGATGGCACAACCATCTCCCACCTCCGCCCAGCCCGCGCAGCTCTGCATCACCGCCGAGGACGAGCTCTTCGACGAGGAGTTCCTGCAGACCTGGCGCCGAGAAGGCTTCCAGGTAACCTACATTCCCTTCCAGAGCGACCGGAAGAGCTACATCGCCGCGCTCGATGCCGTCAAGCATGGCCTGCGCGTGAGCGAGGTGTACGCCATCATCAGTGAGCATTTGCATCTCCCACACCCTCCACACAACCACTAAATCCCCCGGTCCAGGCTTCGGCGACGCAGCCTCCTTCTGCCTCACGCACTACCTCAAGCTCCCCAACACCAACAAGCTCTGCGCGCTGATCGCCTACTACCCGACCGCGATCCCCGGCCCGGCCAGCCAGTACCCGGCCTCGATGCAGGTGCTCGTCCACCTGGCCAACCAGACAGTCAACGTCCACTACCCGCCCTCGAAGACGGGCCACAAGGCCACCGTCGTGCGGAAGCAGGTGGGGCCCGGCGTGGGGATCGGCGACCGCCTGGCGCTGGGGTACGCGGCCTTCTCGTACGTGGGCGCGCTGCCGGGGTTCGCGGAGCACGACCTCGAGGAGTACAGCCGGATCCCGGCGCAGGTGGCGTGGAGCCGCACGCTGGGGGCGCTGCAGCGGGGGTTTCGGCGGGTGGCCGCGGTGGATCTGGAGAGGGTGTGGGATGAGATGCAGGAGGGTAGGTTTCTGCACCCGCCTCGCCTTACTTTTCATTCACCCCACGATATTGCACGCAACAACCATCGGACACATAATCCTGGCTAACATCTCCCTTTGTTCAAGCACGATACTTCTCCCCCAACGAAACAGCCCTCCTCCCTGCCCCCCCTCCCCCACCTCCAGATTCCGAAGCCAGCACAACCACCGCCAGCCCACCCCCATCAGCCCTCTACACCCCAACCCTGCAAGGCGCAACCGGCCACCACCCGCTGCAGGACTTCTACGCGACAAACTTCCACGCCCATCGGCCCGCCTCCATGCGCCTGCAGCTGCTCTCCCGCACCGTCGGCGCCGACCGCGTCGTCGACGAGGTCCTCATCACCTTCCGGCACTCCCAGCCGATGGACTGGATCCTGCCGGGCGTGCCGCCCACCCACCGCGAGGTCAAGATCGTGGTCGTGAGCATCGCGCGCCTGTGCAGCGGCGACGGCCGGCTGTATTCCGAGCATGTCTACTGGGATCAGGCGAGTGTGCTGGTGCAGGTGGGGTTGCTGGATCCCGGTGTGGTGCCGGCGGGGTGGCCAAGGGTGCAGCGGGTGCCGGCTGTGGGCGGGGAGGCGGCTGCCGCGGTGTTGGCCGGGGGTGTGGAGGGGGTGTCTGGGGGTGATGGGGATTTTTCGGACTTCGATTCTGGGTCCGGGGAGGGGTCGGGGGAGGGATCTGAGGAGGGGTCGGGGTATGATACGTTTTCCGGGCGAGAATCAGGCGGGGATGGAGAGGCGTTGCGCAAGGAGGCTACAGAGGAGCAGATATCCTTGGAAGGGCTTACTGTATCGTCGGGGGAGGGGTAGACCCTCGAGACGGGATGGGGATACGTGATACCACCCCGAGACGCGGGATATGTGGATGAACGTACAGTATACTAGCACACATGAAAGGAAACGAAGATCAAGCCTCATTTACAGTACGCCTATACATTCGCACTAACCACCCATGCTAATAAGACCATATTCTCTGGCATGTACACAAGCATAAACTCCCATCACATCCCCAACCACAAAAGACACCTCAAGACCCATAACAAAACCAACTCCTCAGTTCCTAAAGCACAACCCATTAGCTCAACCTCAACCCAAAATCCAACCAAACGCAAAGGAATACTCACAGAAGCTGCAACGTCAAATCCCCATGAATCTTCGCCTTGAGCTGCACCTCAACATCGAGATTTAAATCCAGCCGCAACCGGAGCTGCTCCTCCTTGCCCCCTTTCTCCTGGCCCTGGCCCTGGCCCTGCTGCTGGCCACCCCCCAGCACCCCGCCCACCGCCTTGCCGGCCGTGTTGCCCACCGAGCTGACGGCTTTACCGGCAGTATTCTGGACGAGTTCGCCGGCGCCCTGCGTCAGATTGCCGGTGTCGCCCAGCGAGCCCAGCGGGAGGAGATCCTGGTTGCCGGCGTTGCGCTGGCCGCGGCGGCGTTGTTGGCGGTAGCTCGATGCGGTGGAGGGGTCGCGGGGCGGGGTGGCCACCGGGCGTCGGCGTTGCTGGCGCTGGCGCTGGCGTTGCGGTTGGGGTTGGGGTTCCGGTTGGAGTTCGGGTTCGGGTTGCGGGGAGCTCGGCGCGCTGAGCTCGTCCATCGAGGAGGCGGACTTGGCGTCTTCGGCCATTGGGTCGGGTTTTGCGGGGGAGTCGGGTTGGTTGGATGGCGTTGGTGAGGTTGGTTGTTTGGGGTGCTCTTCTGTAGGGGGTGCTTCTTCAGTAGGCGGGGGGTTCTCGTTTGCAGCGGGCTCCGGTGAGGAGGGTTGTTCTTCAGGGGATGGTAACTCTTCGGTCGGTGGTTCCTGGGCTGGTGATGAATTCTCGACCGGGGGCGATTCTTCGGGATTTTCAGTGGAAGGCGATTCGTCCGAAATAGAAAGCTTTTCGATGGGCGGGAGGTCCTCGCTGGTAGCAGGTTGTTTCCCGCTGCGGGGTTGCTCTGCAGATTTCTCAGTGCCGGACTCTTCAGAAGGCTTCTTCTTCTTCTGATCCGACGCAGGTTCCTCAGTCGGGGGCGGTTTCTCAGCACGAGACGGCTCCTCGGCAGGCGCAGCTTTCTTCTCAGCAGGTGACTCCTCAGCAGCCGGCGGTTTGCGTCTGAGTTTCGGCGGTTTGCGCTTCGCAGGTGTTGTATCACTAGGCTTGGTGTTCACATCTAGACTATCCTTGGCGGAATCAGTCATAGTTGCCCTATCTGCCTTGTCGTATCAAAGCAGACTTGAATCCCAACTCCAGAGGTATACCCGAAGCTCAAGCGAGAAGCACCATATAAACTAAAAACCCCGCCGCCACTCAGCGGAGATACAATTCCTACCACTTTTTTCTGTCTGGCATGATTCAGAAATGAGGTCACGATGAGGGAATCCGCGAAACCAATAAAGGGGGGTGGGAACCAAACGATTGGTTCTGTGGAACCATAAACCCGTATTGTTCGGACAATAGAGGAATACGAGAATGGTTGCAGTTGCGGTTGCGGTTTGCGGTTTGCGGTTCACGGCATTAGGGCCGGGGATTGTCAGCTGATGTACCGATAGACCTCAAGGGGGGGGTGGGGAGGGAGTGGGCTAAGACGTCATGCATTTTTGGACCCGGGGGAGTATACGTTTTCGCCTCCGCCCCCCTCCTTTCACCTTACTTACAATGAAATTGAATTCCTTCCCGTTTGGTGGACAAATATATCAATATATTGCGCCGATCCGATCGATAATCGATTCTATTATTGCTTCAACGGAATAATCCACGCTGAAGGTATCACTTCTTTGCAACGAAAATGGCTACAACACCACCTCCAGACGAGCCAGCCAGCGCAGCAGAGGAGACCACTGCCCAGGGCCAAACCGCTACATTACCCCGTCGGCCGCGCGAGCAACAACAAAAAAAGGACATCTTCCAGGCCCAAGAACAAGAAGCCAATGATACGTCCCGCGCCTTGCAGCGACAGCCCCGGCGACAGCGACGACAACAGCAACAGCAAGAACAAGTCTCTTCCGCCTCCGATACCGAAACCTCAGTTGACGAATCGATCGGCGGCGCGCGCGAGGACCAGCAGCAACAACAACAAGCCACGACGACGCTGCGAGGAGGCCGTCAGGATTGGTCGCTCGAGCCGGAGCCCGAGAAGGAAGACACCGGACTAAAGCTGCGGCTGGATTTGAACTTGGATGTCGAGGTGGAGCTAAAGGCGAAGATTCACGGGGATATCACTTTGGCGCTTTTGTAAGTTCTTTGCTCCGGGGGATTCATCGTTCCTGCAAGGCTATATGGGCTGCAGTTGGAAGGTTTAATTCTGGCTACCTGGGAAAGGGCACACAGCTAATGCTTTTAAGGTCCTGATCATAGTGCTTAATTCCATCTGCATGGCTGGAAGATTGAATCTCAAGCTCCGGTCGTCTAGCATCGAGTGAAGTTCTGCATGGTGCGAGGAATTCTTCTTCGGTCGCTTCTGGCGCGACTCTGATTCTGTGGACCTAGCACACTGACACTTCAAGAGCAAAGCTCACTAGCGCAATGGTGCACTTTGAGTCGCCTTGCATGGCACACCGTGTTTGTCTGTACATACATAGTAGCTGAACCTAATCAAGAAAGCTCAATCACGAGCATACGCAAGACCTGACCTTCGATGACGTCCATCTTCTCTAATCAGGGTAAACTCGCCGTGCCTTGCAAATAGTCCCAAAGTACAGGATCCATGGTCCACTGTACATGAATCATGAGAACCTGACGTAGAACAAACAAACAAAGAGATTTTTGCCCCCTGAGCTCATGATCATGCCACTGTTCATCGGGTCTATTCGCTGCTATGCTCTGTTTCCATGGTTTGGAAGTATATCGCTGCGCCAGTTGTGCCATGGGTACATGCAGCGCTAGTAAGCGACAATGCAATTAGTGCCGTGGATGTATGTAGGCTCCTGTACTGTCCACAAGATTCGGCCCTCGTATTCATCGTGTCAATAAGAGTTAGTGACGTATCAATGATGGCTAGTTGGTATGTCTTGTGATAGCGATGTCGAAGATATCGAATTATAAATGCACGGGTAGTGTTGGAATAGGGTGAAAATATGAACAGCAGAATCCACAAATCTGAGAAGCAATAGCAACAAGAAAGTACAACATCTTCAATCCTCAACCACGAGACAAACAGAAGCAAAACACTCATGGAGGTGAAAAAAGCTGCAACGCATCCTGGTACCCAGGGTACCCAGGGGAAAGCCCACCGCAAGATTCAAAAGCTGACCTCCAAGGGCAGTCGCTCTGCGGGGAAAGGCTCGGTTTCAGCAGAGGACAAGGAGCCAAGTCTAGAGGAGATCAGTCCCCACGAGATGGAAGGAAGTACCCACAGCTCTCAGGAACAGAGACAGAGCATGCGGTCCGGCTCAGGTGGGGCCGAGGCCGGGGGATCTAAGACGTATCCACGTTCGTCGATGCTGGCCCGGGGTAAGACGGCGGCAGATCGGCTGGGCCGTTTCACTCAGGGCGTGAAATCGATGGGTCACTGGTCTTCTTCGGATACGGCGCAAAAGGCCCAAGATAAGCTCGGCGAAGGTGCCCAACAAGCCAAGGGCATGGCACCTGCTCAAGAAGACACTGCTGGCTCTGGCTTGGAAGATGTCCAAGGTAGCGTGTTCAGCCTAGCGAGTCTAGAGGGGCTCAGTGTCGAGGAAGGAGGCATGATAATGAGTTCGGCGGGGCAGCCGATTGGGGAGGTGGTCGAGGGAGATCCCGACGACCTTGTCGGCCAGACTGTCGGCAAGAATGGAGAAATTTTGGACGAAGATGGGGATCTAATTGGACGTGTGCAGCTCCTGGAGAAGGAGGCAGAACCAGCATCCGGAGAAACCCTCGATGCGGGAACATCTGAGCAGGGTGAAAGCCTTCCCGATATGCCCACTTCCGAAGAGGGTGGTCAAGATCAAATGGGACAAGAAGAAGCCCAGGAAGGGATCAAGATGGAGGACACCACTGCTCCAACCGAGCCCGATCAAACTGTGGAAGAGCAAGAGGCAAGCGACGCAGGTCAGTCCTTGGAAGAGCCACCAGCAAGCGAAGCGGACCAAACCCTACAGGAGCAACAGCCAGGCGGAGAGGAAGAAGTCGCCAGCGAAGGCGGGCTTGAGATTCCAGAATCTGCGCAGCGCGAGGGGGCGGAAGAAGGAGCAGAAGAAGAATTAACAGGAGATAAAGAAGTGGGAGCAGGAGTCGGGGAAGAAGGAGTGGGCGAAGAAGCACTGGGGGAAAAGGGGGTGGGCGAAGAAGGAGTGGGCGAAGAAGGAGTGGG